TTGATATGTTTCTTCAACATTAGTCTAAAGGTTTAATATTTTTATTTGTATGTAGTTTATGTTTAAGGCTTTTTTTACTTTAATATGACTAAGAAGATGTAGCAACAATTTTAATATACATTCCCATGCAGTCACTGTCCAGATATTTTAAGATAAGTAATACATTTAACAATTCATTTAAAGGAGAGAAGAAAATACCACTGGGATCAATATACAGTCATTATTTGAATGTTTTATGCAATTGTTGTAATTAAAATTCAATATTTTCTATGATTCAAGCTCACATTTGTAAATATCTAACTTTGTTATATCTGGAGGCTGCATTGATAGTTTTGTTTTTTAAGTTAGAAATAATTATATTAGCCTGATATAAATTACATTAACCAAGGGATCAAGGCAGGCAATAAGTCATGTTGATATCTTGTTTCCCCTGAGATGATGCAATGAGAATGGCATTTCACCTCTGTGCAGCAAACTCAGATTGAAGGACGTTCTACAAAATACCCAAAGAGTACTCTTCAAAACTGTCAATGTCATGAAATACGAGGAGAGTCTGAGACACTGTCACAGATCAGGGGAGACTAAGGATACATGACAACTAAATACAATGTACTATCCTCGAGGGGATCATGGAAGAGAAAAAGAACATTAGTGAAAAAGGTGGTGAAATTCAAAAACCGTGTATAGTTTTTACACGGCCTGATAATCAGCTTTATTAGCTTATTCACATTAAACCAATTCAGTGATAGCAGACTGCACCATTATAGTAATAGTAACGTACAATGTCAATTTCTTAGTTTTGACAGATGTACTACAGTTAAGCAAGATGTTAACAGGGGAAACTGGGTGAAAGGTATATGGACTATCTTTGTAAATTATTCTAAAATTAAAGGTTTATTTAAAAAATGATTCCATTAATATAAATTTATTCATAAGGTTGCTAAAATGCAACTTGCTTTGAANCGCAGCCGGCTTTGGGAGGTGGGGCGGCGGCCGATCCGGCGCCTCTATTAGCCGGCGGGGCAGCGGAGGCGGGGCGGGGCCTCTGTGATTGGCGGGGCCCCCAGCCGGAGGGGGCGGGGCTGCTATATCAGAGGAGCCTCTGTCGCGGCGCAGGCAGTCTGGCTGCTGGAGTGCGGCGCCGCGGTGGGAACCCAGATAGCTGGTGGGCTAGAGGGCTGGCAAGGGGGTGGCAGGAAGGCGCGGCGGCCGCGGGGCGCAGGACGAGGGTCTGCAAGGCGGCAGCCCCCCGAGGGCCAGACTTGCCGAGACCCGGGCTGGGTCTTATTGGTGGTGAGGCGGCAGCCCCGCTCACACCAAAGAGGAGGCGGCTGTGGCGGCAGCGGCGGCCCCAGCCATGCTGTGCTATGTGACGAGGCCGGACGCGGTGCTGATGGAGGTGGAAGTGGAGGCGAAAGCCAACGGTGAGGACTGCCTCAACCAGGTGAGGACGAAGGGTCAGGCGGGGACCCTAGGCCGAGGGGCCTCGCGGCGGCGCCGTGCACCTGGGACGCACCGCTTGCCAGGGGCCGGGCGGCGCTGCTGCTGCGGCGGCGGCGGCTGGGGAGAGCGCGTCCCGGGCGCCCCGCCGGCGCCCCCTACCCCGCGGGCGTGGGGCGCATGGGCCCCATCCTGGCGCGCCCAGAGCGCGTGGGGAACCGCGGAGGACGCGCGCAGTGGCCGGCCACCCTGTCCTCCGCCCCCTCCCCCAGCCCGGCACTTTCCCGGAAGAAGGCGGCCCAGAACATCTGCCGCAGGTGTGTGCTTGAAGCCGCCTGTCGGGTCGCCGCGGGGCCTGCCAGCGACACCTGCGTCCCGGGATGAGGTGGTTGGAGGCGGTCACAGGTCCCTCGGGCTTCTTGGCGGACAAGCCGGGCCCTTGTCTCTTGCTGCTTCTCAAATGGACCGTTCACCTGCATCTCCCGATTTGCGGGGACGAGAGGACCGTTTTGGCGTCTGCTCCTCGGTTGTCTTGAAGCACGCGTTTCTTTTAAGAGTGAAGAATGGTTCAAACAGTGCATAGTGGTATGGCAGACAGCAGATTTGATCTCAAGTGAAACGCTGTGCCCTCAAACCTCCTAGACCTGAGATGTTTGGAAAATCTCTCGCAAAGCTTAGCTGACACTTGTGGCGTGTTTCCTCAATGTGTTCGTTTTTCTGGAGTGCAGATAGTTAAAATTGTCCAGATACTACGCTGCCAAATCAGCTGTGTCGATTGTGTTGGTGGAGGGAATTTCGGTGATTGGAATAAGGAGGAAAATTCCCTGAGATTCCCCTCCTCAGCCTTTTTGGAAGGCTGCTTTTGACGACTCCTTTTTCTCTACTGCCATTGGCTGTGTCCTGGGGATTAAAGGAAGGACAAGCCTCTCTATACTTCGCCTAGTAGTTTAGCATCACTAGGACCTTAGATCTTTGTTTTTCCAGTTTACAACGAACTGTGACACTGTTGTTGAATTTTGTAAAGAGTAGGCAGGAATCTTAGAGCCAGTGGAGTCCTTGGGTTTGCTTTGACTACATGGACCGTTTGCTCATCCATGCTGCATTCGTTTTTGTTTTAGGTGTGCAGGCGATTGGGAATTATAGAAGTTGATTATTTTGGACTGCAGTTTACGGGTAGCAAAGGTGAAAGTTTATGGCTAAATCTGAGAAACCGGATCTCCCAGCAGATGGATGGGCTAGCCCCTTACCGCCTTAAACTAAGAGTCAAGTTCTTCGTGGAGCCTCATCTCATCTTACAGGAGCAGACTAGGTAAAGTGATGCTAAAATAAACCAATGTCAAATAGGCCTTTGGTTCCATTTAGAAAGGGTCATTGCACCTTCCCAGAGATGTTCACAGTCAAATTTGTTTTGATAGAGTGAGTTGGTTCATAATTTCGAACTTTTCCATGGCACAGCCCTTTTATCAGAGTGAAGAGGGACCTATCTAGTTGGCTTGGGGTACATTTTCCAACTCTACCTCTGGTTTATCTTGACTTTATAGACAATGGGAGAGCAGGGTTGAATTATTACAAACACTTTTGATTAGTGCCACAATGGCAGAGAAACAGAGAGGGACAGGGGAGAGGGAAGGAGGGAGGAAAGGAGGGAGGAAGGAAAGAAGGAAGGAAGGAAGGAACGAAGGAAGGAAGGAAGGAAGGAAGGAAGGAAAAAAGAAAGAAAGTGAAAGAAAAAGGAAGACCCAGTTGACTTCCTGATAGCAGCATCTAATGCCCGAGAGTAACCTCTGCCTCTCAGCAGTGTTACTATAGGTCATTATAGACTGCTCTAACAGAAAGCAGGAAACAGTTCCTCTTGGGTTTCCTAAACTTGGTCAACTTCTTCGGCCTAGTGTCAAATTACAATGTGCAGCAAAGAGCTCTGTCCAACTTAATGCAGAATTTTAAAAGTTTTTAAGTTTCTGGAAAACTTAAAGAACTCTTTTAAGGACAGTGTAACCGGACTCCATCGCACAGATATGTTATATATGATTGTTGAGTTTAGATTGTTGAATTTATCTCTTTCCTTTAGAAAACCACTGGTAGTGGTAGACAACTAGAGAGGTGGTTTTCTCTTTCAAACCGAAAACGTTTTCTCCCCTGGGCTGACAGTGATACTTTTCTCAAGGATTAGAAAACTAGGAAACCAGTGTTTTAATATTTATTGCTGAAATGCAAGAGACCTAAATCTTACAGTGGCATGTAAAAAAAAAAAAAGCATTAAGGAAAATAACTAATTCTAAATACAGCAAACTTTGGGTCTAAATTCTAATGTTTTTCATAATCGTTTGGCTTGGAAATTTGCCGTGCACATGAAAAATGTGAATGTGAAAAGTTTGAGTAATGATGAGTAAGCAATACCTTTAAGAGTTTTTACCATGATCTTTTTTGATTGTTTACCTAAGGATCAATAGAAACATATTTTGAAATACTATTCATTTGAATTTGAAATCTCTGCTTTGCCTCATATGAGCTTTAAAGAGTGAGGGAAATGTTCAGTTTTGTTTCTGAAGGAACCGGCATATTGAATTCTTAGTGCTGCTAAAAATGTCTTGCAAAATATTAAAGTGATTGCATGTTGAAGGATATTTTAGCTGTCTGTATTAATCAGAAAGGGTTGGGGTTTTGGTTTTTTTACTTAAAGCTGATTTGTGAAAGCTTTTACTTTGCACTTCTGTGTGATAACTAGCACTCAAGTAAGGGAGTATTTTATACACACACACACACACACACACACACAAAATGTCACAATATATTGGAATTTTCATTGTGTACTTTTATCATGATTTTGCAGTCATTTCAGGGCCTCCAGATGCAAATCTATTTTGATGACACAAACATTTTTTAAATCTGTAGAAGCTTAGAAGAATGAATACATCATTTAAACAATGGTTGCAGTTATAATTGTATAATACATTTGTATAGTGAATGCTTACAGACTTTAAAAATTTACTAGATGGTCTTGTACTTTCTTATAATTGAGTTAATAATTATTATCAAATCCACTTTATTCATGCAAGAAATAGAGACATTTTATGAATTAGAATTGGAATCAAATTTCCTACTTTATTGACTCAATTGACTTTGACTCTTGAGATTCATGCCTAATAGCACTCCAAGAATGCACATATCTAGTTAGACTAGGTAATTTTAATTGATTTTTAGATCCTTTTGAAATCTTATTGAAAAATTAGTGTGATCTAAGCTTTTGACTTGCTTTTAAAATATTGGAGAATTTTATTTGTTTTTGTAGGGTTGTCTGAAATACAGAATTTTAAGAAAATGTCACTTAAAATTTATATAGCACTTTGCCTTAATAACCACATAAAGTGATTTGTCATTAGCATTTGTACCTTTTAATTAGGATCAGAAGTTGTAGTAAGTCCAGTTTAGTCACAATTAGCATTGTTTTTATGTGCATGATACTGTAGAACAAAAATACTATTTCCCCCAATGTTAGTGTTCAAGATAAAGCTAGTTGCTAAACCTTTTGATGTTTAATTATTCATTATAAAATATTTATATAAAATGACATGAAAATAAAATAGATCTGTTTATTTAGTGAGTCAACTCGGCTTTACCAGAGCAATTATGAGAGGTGATTGTTTACTGTCTCTAAGTCAAGTCATAAGGGTACATTTAGTGTACTGAAAAGTATCTGGACAGTTTATTAAATGGTGCTGAAATGTCCTGGCTGAGTTGTCCTTTGTGGGCAATTAAGTAGCCTGCTCACAGTAGAGAGGGCCTAACTGGAGCCAGTTAATATATTCATTTGCGTTGAATTAGGGAGGCTGCTGTGCCAATGACAGGAGCAGGAAGGCCTGTTTGTAATAGAGTACTGGGGTCAAGGCCAAAGGTTCTAGGTCTGGCTCTGCCACCAACTACCAGTGTATGCAGACTCCTAATAGACTGAGCCAGCTCTTTCTTCATCTCAGTTGAAAGCCCAGGATGAGATTATCTCTAGAATCTCCTATAGCAATAGATTTTTTTTTCTTTGCTTCTGTCTCCTCTCTATATGATTTTCCTCTAAGTTTTCCTAAATATATTTCTCTGAAGACAGAAAAAACATATCAAGTGTCTACTTAGATTGGTAGGTAGAGTTAATCTGGTTTCTGATTTGGCCTAATTTTAAATTTGGTTCTTCACCCAGATTATTATGTTTGCTCTTGAATGGAGGTCTGGAAAGTAACCAGAGTCTTGTTTAGATTCAACTGGCACAGTTCAGAGATGGAGACAGCAGGTATTTTCAGCAGATGTTTGCCATGCTATGAATTAAAACTAAAAGTGAAACTAATGTATTTTGGGCAGAGACCCTAAATAGTAATCTTCGGAATTCTTGCCTTTCAAAGGCTCTCGGTTATTCACAGCAATTCAGACCAGATTTTGGTCAACATTTTCAAAACTGGTTTGAGAATTATAAGCCTCATCTTCAGAGGTGGTAATTATACCATCCACTGCCAATAAAATCTTTCTGTTTCTCCTGACTTTGCCACATTTTGGCAGAGCTCTGTGGTCTTTTTGCTAGGGGCACTCCTGTTTAGGTTAAGACCCACCAACACCAGAATTCTCTTTCTCAGAAAACAACCCCAATACAAGGGGTTGGTGAGTCCAGAACTAAATGTTTGTGGAAATGCTATAATCCTGAGCGTTGGATCTCACCAAGGTTTGAATGATGTGAGCATCAAATGAATGATGAGTTTGACCCCGGAGTCCTTCACACCTCAGCTCTGTCACCACTCCTCAGGAAAGTCACCCCTAGGCCTGCTCAGGAGACAAAACTGCCCCAAGACATTGTGTAGCTTTCTTTTGTAGCATGTAATGAGCGTGTAACACTGCCTTTACAGATGCGACAATTTGATCATTGTCAGCTACCCTAATAATCTATAAATTCCATGAAACAGGGAGCTGATCCACATTGTATCTCCAGAGTCTAGCAAGTGCCTGGTGGGGCCTGGTGCATAAATATTCATTGAATCGATGAGTTAAGTACTTGGAAATAAATAAAAAAACAGGTAAACTGATACTGATGATATTCATTTTTTTCAGATATTGAAATGTTTGCCAGTTTGCATCTATAAAATGAAAAGTTTGAGACTAAAAGAAATCTCACCATTAAAAAATGTTTTGTAGTGATTATTCTGTTAAGAATTTTCTCAGTGCTTAGCATTCTTTTGCTCCCATCCCTAGCCCAGGCCACCCTATCCCAGGTCATTTGTTTATTGTGTTATTATTTTTTTTTTTTATATTCCCAAACACAAAATAGGCTCCTGGCAAGTAAAAACGATAAAAACAGACTCATAGATTATTGCCACATAAAGTATTGATTAAATTTCTGAATTCTAATTTGTTAAGTTTTTTCTTTTGGCTTAGCATATAGGATGTTTGTGTTATTGTATGTTTATTTTAGCCTGGGTCTTCTCCCATCTGGGCATGTTCAGTCTATTTTCAAATTTGTGACACTTATATATTGGTATGAAATCTCGAAAGAATATTGAGGAATCGGTTTTTATGTAATAAAGATGAACTTTTAATCTTGACCATGTACTTTTTAAATAAATTTAAATATTTCCATGACACTTAGGGTCAGACTCAGGATGAGCAGTGGTGCACAGCTCCAGGGGCACCAGGTACATTTATTCTCTAGTCGTGTCCCACTGCAGCCTGGTCACAGACCTCTCCTGGACCTAATAGCACTCCCCGCTCAACTGGATTGTTGAGGAAGAGATTGTAGTTAACATGGTTAAATTACAGGTTTGCCTGGGTTGTTGTTTGCCTAGGACAGGTATCCACTGTGAGTAATCATACTTTTCAAAAGCGCAGATTTTATGCTTCCAAGTAATAGTATTCTTTTGGTGTGGATTGTAATCACTTTTGAAGTTGGGAATGTCCCCCCCTCCCCCCACCTCCATCTCTTTTAACTGCTTTGGAGCCTGAGGAAGAGCACATTTATCAGTGATTCCCATTTTGCATTTGGGGCTTTGAGAAGGATTTCCTTAAGCCTGAATGGAGACCTGGCTTGGTAATTGGCTGTGGACAGGCCTACCATAAAGTGTAGATTTGATGGTTCATTTTAGGTATAGCTATTCATTTGAATTATGAACCTGGACCCTAAGAGATTTTCACTAGTATTATTTTCTCAACCTCTTATTAAAATTTTCAAATACACAGATAGGTTGAAGAATTTTACAGTGAACACCTAATACTCCCCCCTAGATTCTACTATTAACAGTTAACTATATTTATTCATTTATTGACCCCTTTACACATCTATTA